TCATGCCCTGCTTAAAGGTCCAGTGTGTAAGATTTAGGTGAAAGGGAACTATTGGCAGAAATTGAACGTAGAATAATCCTCATGATGTTTTCACTAGTTCATTTCATCTAAATTGTATGAATTGTAGTTTTCTTTACCCCAGAAAAGGCCCTTTATATTCAAATACTTTATATTTAAATACTTTATAGTTACATAGAGGGGACCCTCTCTACGGAGGCCGCCATGTTTTTTACATTAGTCCAGACTGGACAAACTAAAACCTTTTGAGTTTTTATGACAATTAAAGGCTACCACAGTTTCTTTTTCATGTTTGGAAGGAGAGGGTGAGGTGAGGGGTGTTCGGCTACAAAAATAAGAGCACTTGTTAATGCAGTGAACTCATATTTCAATATAATTTGGTGACTTTTAATATAAGTATATTATATGTATAATATTTATATGCCAGCCAGGTCAGACTATTACTGCTTGTTGTTCAGTTCCAGTTTGTACAGTTTGCTGTCTTTCAGTCTGCGAAGCCAGGACAGGAAAAACAATTACGCAGATCCATCTGCCAGTGTTTGAATATTTTTAGGCTTCATTCTCTTGCTGTTTATCTTCATCATTTTCCTGCTTGGCTGGTCAAAAGGATCTCTTATGCCTTTTACCAACAATTCTTCATCTAAGATGTTCAACTCAAGTTTAAAAGCATCAACTAGCACATAGAGAGTTCATGCATTCATTCATGTAATGTATGTGTTTTATGATTATCAGAATTATACTGACAGATTAAGCAGACTCACTGAAATGTCTTTTACGTTTCTACAGTCTCTTTAAAGAGTTTTCAATAAATCAAAATAAAAGCAGTTAATTATTTATCTATTCCAAAACAAAAGAGTATTACCGAAACTTCACAAAACTAATTTATTTAAATCATTACATCTTTGGGGTTATAATTGAGAGTTGAGAAGATAGGAGCCAAAATAAAAGCCAGTGACCTGTAGCCAGTGGTCAGTTCTCATGACAGGACCGCTGTGATAAATAACACTGTGTTTACAATTGTATCAAATGGATAGGCAGGATTTTGGCATGAAATCCTTAAACATCTCACCAGTCCTTCAGCTTCTCCCCTCCGAACTAAAAATTGGATAATGTACATCGCAAAAGACCCTTCACAACCTTGGTTTAATGAATTTGAATAAATTCCCTCAAAACCAAAAGAATCTCATCATCCCCATGTCCTGTGATCCTACAGAAGGAATTTATTTATTATGTATGTATGAACTGTCTTTGTCATGTGCTATTGTTCCTTTTAACCCATCTTATCACACCATGTTTGCTTTGGAGCCAAAAACAGAGTGGACATTAAAGATTTATAAAGGTTGTATGAAAACATGAGATTTCATAAAAAACCCTGAAGAAGGTCGAGGGCTAAAACATGTTTCTTTTTCTCTGCTTCTGTTGTTTATTCATCTATCTCACTATCTATCTATCTATCTGGTGTTCTTGACGGACTGAAACTAATACAGACAACAAACTGTCTAAGTCAAAATCATGAAAGGTATAAGACGAACATCACAGTCACTCTGAGGTCTGAGTTAAGACACTGGTGTAATTCGAACTGAAAAAAACATTAAATAAACTGCGAGAGAGAAGAGTTTCTGTCGATGCTAAATTGGTACTCAACAGCCGCAATTGGTTGATATACTGTGTACAGAGAAATTACCTTGTGTGAGGGAGTTCTGCTGTAATATAGTGAACAGAACAATTACTATATTGTGGGTAGTTTCGCTGCAATGGACTCTGAAACAACTGCATGAGGGACAGTGCAGCTATAAAACACTAAAAAACAGTATTGGTATCGATGTGTCCCTCCCCCCTCCATGTGTCATCTTGCTTCCTCTTAATGAGCCTCATGAGACCGACAGCCTGAAGGTAACACACAAGAAGTTCTTGAGGGGAAAAGGTTGGCAACGTATCAGACCTTCATGTCTATCCTGTGACCATATAACTGCGTACGTGTCTCTCTGGCTGCCTGACTGGATATAACCCTCTCTACCCCGTGACCACCAGTTCTCTCGTCCACTAAGAATTCTAGCATTTACATTTTTAACTGATCGTATGGATGGGAATCGAGCATGTCGGTGTGATTTTCCGACAGTTGCAAATTGCCAAAGAATTACATCACACTTGCAACAAGAAGGAGTCATGGAGGGGAGGATAAAATTGTCCGAAGCGTGGCTTAATTTCACAAATCAAGAGGACAATAGGGCTAGTTGTAATGTCAGTAAAATTGTACTTTTATGTAACGACAGGCGGAAACAAGACCCCAGCAATGTGCTGAAACTACATGAGCATATAGAATTAGACATACAGTTAAGAAAAAGAATAACGGAACACTGTTGGCAAAAATGAAAAAAATGCTGGATCTGCATCAAGATTCAATGGGTTCCCATACCACATCCTTCCACCAAGTTTCATGGAGATCAGTCCAGTAGTTTTTGCATGAACTAAAGGACGAACAAACACCAATGAAAACCTTCTTGTTGTAGTAAATAACATTAGAAACACACCGAAAGGTTTTACAGATCTTTTTCTTTGACTTAGAAATGTTTCGCCACTCACACTCGATTGATCAGGAATCGTGGAATTGATAAAGGATCGGGCCGAAAAGAGAAGGCTATAATGGCCTCGGTAAATATGTTTCTTCAGTCCATCTAAATATGAGTGTGTGACTAACTTCTCATTTTTTATCCGTCAGTTTAAATTCCTCTCTGTATATCTGATGGCTTGTCTGCAGGCCTGCATCAGCCCAGTCTGCTGACTTTCTTTCTTCGCTCTATTCATTCATTTCTCACTCCTCTTTTCCCACTACTTACTGCCTTACACTCCCCTCCATTCCCACCACACACACACACACCCATGCACAGCGCCGCCCTGTCAGTCTATGAATGTCAATCCTGTCCATCCTGTGACCAGAGTCATGACGACAGCCACAGATCACACTCCCTCCACTATTCCCATGGCCCTAATTAGCTGATAGGCTGCAATGCGGTGTGGCTCGACCACAGTCCCTCTGCAATTTTGTGTCTATGCTTTCACCTCAGAGTGTCAATGTGCAGACGTGACAACTTCTCGTCATTTTGTGTGTTTTTCGTCCTTTTGGGAAAAGACGTGCCCCTGTTTTGTTTGTCTTTTTTCAGCCTATAGCTGTCCAAGTTGACAACAGAGTTTTAGTCTATTAGTCCAAGGAGAGTTCTGCTGAGTGATACCTGACTATCACATGCTTCCACTAGCAAGCAGCATCTCATTAGATTAATATTCATGGTACAATCACTCCTCAGCTATAATTATGAGCAAGTGAATCCCATTATTTCAAACTGGCATGCATTCACATTTAAGTTCAAATCACCTTACATACATACTAATATTATTTAAAACAATCATTCAAGAAAAATCTAACCATCCATCAGTCTAAACCCTGCATTAAAGCTAATCTTGCTAAATTAGTTAATGTTAAGTAACCACTTTGTACTTACCAGAGTTCTTTTTTGCCTATTTGTTTATTGATCTATTTTGCTGTTTAGTTTTTTCATGCAATAATGCATTTTGCAGGTATTGCTGCTCACTGACATTATTTTTATTTTTAATGTATAAAAATCCATGGTGCAATTTGCACCCTTGATGTATATACCGGGTCTTTTTATCCCTGCCACTGCTAAATCATTTTTATGGCTGGTGGGGACAAAATGTATACCCCCCATAATGTGATTAATGCCATTTGAGTACTTCACATGTTCCAAACAACAACATCCAACACATGTGGATGAAAACAGACACATTCATATGTTAAGAAACCTCATGTTCTCCCTAAGGCTCCGATCAGCTGATCAATTTTATAATTTTATCACTTTCTCCTTCCTTCTCCTCCGTCACCACCAACATCTCTTTGAACTCCTCAAGGCTGATCCATTCACACCAACACACACTGAGGTAAATACAGAGATGTTTGATTCACAATGATTTCATTCCCTCAGCCACAAACACATGTTGTTTCCTTAGGCAACTGAGTCAACTGAGCTGGTTGTCTCTCTTCCTAGAATGACCAGCAATTCACACAATCGTACCTGGAAGATCATCTCTACCACTATTCTCTTTTCATGTTTCACAGAAAGGACCCACAGGGACACTTCTAGGAATGAGTGCCTTGCTGAAAGGTTACCTCACTATAATAACCCTTTTTCATTATGGGGGAAATTATGTTTTAATGTCCCTGGAACTGTTGGGGTGGAGTTTGTTTGCAGCTTTGACTGCTGTTGACTGATCAAACACAAACCTCATGGCTGTGACTATGCGAGTACACACACAAAACAGTTCTGAAACTTCAGCATTCTTCACTAGTTCCACATTTATTTGCTTAATTGTCTGTCCTACCTTTTTCTTTCTTTACATGAGAGTTACATGAGACCTAGAGTGTGGATAACTGACCTGAACCAATCAGCATCAGCACTTCATCAATTCCTGTGTCCACTATATGATGCTACAGAGCATGCAACAAACATGCATTTTGTTGCAGTAAAAAACCAGACCATGAAAAGTTCATGTAAATGGAATGATCGATGTGACATGAGGCATAGCTCCTATTTCCAGTGGGTGGCGCTATTACTGAGTCTTTCTTCTTAAGCAACAACCTGATGTCACCTTGTCACAGAATTATTTATTATGCTCCAAGCACAGCTCATTCTCTGAAAACAGTCAACTATATTCTGGATGATTTATAGTCTGGTTTATATGCTATATAAATAAAAATTATATTAAACTTTAATTCCATTTCAAGTATTTTATTTTTTAATTCCCCCTAGCTGGAATATTGCCATTATAAGTAAAATGCTTCTCCAACAAATTCCCAGGCTGCCAATGACGTTCATTTAAAAATGAACACAAGGCAGGCACAATGAATTTAAGGGCAGAGACGCAAAGCATATGGAGTGAAAGAGGGGGGCACAGACTGAAAGGCCAGAGATGAGGGAGACAGAGAAGAAGAGAGATGAAAGAAAGAGGAGAAAAGGGATGAACAGGAGCAGAGCAGAGGAGAGAAGAAGGCTAGCACAGACATCAAATAAAGATGGATAAAATGAATAAAATCAAAGGGGGGGGATAGAAGAGGTGGGAGGATAAAAAGGGAGGTGATTGGGAAGGAGACAAAGACAGAAAGAGAGAGAGAGAGAGAAAGAGTGTATCTACTCACCACAATCATTTCTGACGGCTCCAAAGTGATGCATTCACAGCCTCGTCTGCCCCCCAGCTGCTTGCCAAAACTGAAGAGAACGCACACAAAAACACACATAGAATAAGTGTTAAATCAGACACAACAAGCCCTGTGTGTTAAAAGATAAGAGAATTATCGCACACAACTGAAGAGATGGACGCAGTCAATCACTTTTGAACGCCCCCACAGATGAACACCAGCTTGTACATGAGTTACATCGACTACATACATCCAAATCAAAAGTGAGATGTGCAAGTGTTAAATGTGAAATAACAACAGGGGTGTGTGGATCTTGTAGATACTGTACGTCTTTACACCAAATGAGATGTAACATGTTTAGTATGCGAGACACTGATGTAAATGTGAAGAGAAGCATTGGTTTCAAATTAAGTCAAGAAATCAGTCAGTCCACTTTTCATCCACACACATGACAAAAACAATTACTGAGAATGAATATGAGATAGAGCAGATAACGAATACCCTGTGTTATACCTGGTTAATACCGGTACTTTGATCCTTCAGACCAGACTGTTCTCAGGTTACTACTTAAGTTGGTAAACGAGACCTGCGTCATTTATCATGGTCGTAAACCGTGTAAAAATAAATTGGGCAAATAACCTTTAAAAAGACAGACATTCTCGCAAATTAAAGGGGTAATAGCTTAAATAACCGTTGCGGATAAGACATTTTAAAAGCACCCTCAAGAGATGCTTTCATAAAAGCAATTCCTCCCATATTGTATGCAAACGTTTATTATATAATATATCATACTTTATATCTCTATAGTCTTGTGAGGCTGAGTGAGAGACACTAGGTCTAGGCAAGAGAAGAGAGGATGTATGCAACAGAAGACTGGGCTCCAGCATAGAACAGCCTCTGGCATGGCTCTGTACAGGTATTAGAGCTGTGCAGCTGGTCCAGTAGTTTGTGGTGAATGTCTAACCACTGCAAGACTGTGGATCAATAAGGCTTTGTGGTTGACACCTCAACATGACTATACACAGTCTACAGAGACCAGAAACACAAATCAGTGCTCACCCAACTGTGATGACCATGGTTTCATGTAAATTCCTCTGTGTGAAAGTTGCTATATTTAAGTTTTATCTGCCTACGAACCTGGTGTCTTTCTTCAGTCTTTGTTGCATTTATAAGAGACAAGATAATAATAATTCCTTTGAGTATCGCAATTTCTTTTTATATTGCAATTGCTTCCAAAATCCTGACATTTTTTAGAAGGGCTGTATGTGAGAATTCAAACGTCCATGACATTTTCAATAAAATGTCCAGGTTATGTCAGAGTAAACTCATTTGAGATTACACCGGGAACGTTTCTGGAAATTTCACAGCGAGTAAATTGGGAATGGTGATTCCAACACCTGATGGACGCAAAACTTGAAGAATACAAATATGTCAGGATAAGAAAGTGGCGACATACACGTAGGAGAAGCAGATGGAAAGCTTTTGGTGATAAGAGCAGACTTGTGTGTTGATGTGCTGTGACTAAAAGCATTTTGCTTTCCGCAGTGAAATCTATACATCACGTGCTATATTGTCCATGCTCTACCCAGATTCCACCCCTCGTATGAATTTTCTGTTCCTCGTCTCTTCTCCTACTGCTGCGTTCATCATATCTGAAAATGTCCACACTCTTTCTGGAGATCAGGTCTGAAAACAGCTTTAGCTGCAGGCCTCACAGGTTCAGCTGCTGTCGGCTGGACTGCTGGCTGTTGTTAGTCTCTGATGAGCGAGAGGAGAGCAGCTGATGTGGTGGTGAGACCACGCGGCTCAGCCTGCTCTTTTCTCGTCACATGGGGATTTTGCATGACGTCTTGGTTCACTCTGAAATTGTGTATGCTGACGGTAAAAACATTTTTTTTTCTGTCAGCCAATCTCCCTACAGCCTCACTAGTGTATAGCATACAGAAGAAAAAACAGTTTGGCTGAATGTTAATAACATGTTGATTTGTATAAATGCGTCATAATTTCCTCCCTAAATGGTAAAATCGAAACATAAAAAGCGTTTGACCTTTAAACATAATGATCTCTTCAGAACTCAAAGTACTTGTGTGCTGCTGATGTACAACTTATTTTTACTGCATTTTTACCAAAACAAATGCTCAACAGAGTCAAAATCTAGTGTACTGAATCACTTACTTTTAATCTATTGTTAAATGAAAAAAATATATATATAACTTCAAGTTGCCAATTTTGGCCAAATAAGAGATTGAAATTGGAAATTAACCAAATGTAAAAGCAGACAATTCTGACATATCAGAAGTTTTGTATAAAAATAGATTTGAATATCTAACAGATTATCGTAAAAGCAACTAATCATTGTCAGTGTGATGCATTAATGGTCTCACCAAACAGTACAGCTACATTACTAAATGCACATCTACATACATTTATAACACCTTAAAAACATGGTGTTTTAAAATCTATTTGAATTTTGAGACACTTCTGAATGTTCTCTCCCACGCTGTGTGTCTGTGTTTATGCATATTGTAATTGTATGTCTCTGTTTCCCATGAACTAAGTGTGAGAGTGTGAGAGATACCCCGTGTGAACTATGTGTGTGTGTGTGTGTGTNGTGTGTGTGTGTGTGTGTGTGTGTGTGTGTGTGTGTGTGTGTGTTGATCCCGAGAACAGACTGGTCTGTGGACACGTCTCCCTTTGGCGTTGCTAAAAGTGCCGACTCAGCATTGTTTAAGTACTGGAGGAGCGGCTGGTTTTAATTATGGAAGCCTGCTGAGCGAGGAGAGAGCAAACTTTCACTCTCACATCTCCTCTCCGATGACTCTCACAAAGTGCATCCTTCTCTCTACTTGTTTTTGCCCTTTGCTTCTTTTTCTTATCCAATTCCCTGTCATCTTTCCCTTCTATCTGTTTTTGTTGTCCCCTAAAACCTACACTATCTTTGCTTCCTTTGCCATGTCCTGTCCACTTAACCCCTCTCGCCTTTTACATATTATTTTCTGCTTTCCTGTTGTCTTCCTCTCTCTCCTCATATCATGTGCCATTCCCTTTCATCCTTTCCTTTCTTTCTCTCTTCTTACTGACGGCCTTTCCCCTCTCTGAGCCAAAATAAAGAAGCAGTAGCAATCTTTCATCTCATCACATCCTTAATCACACAGTCACACCAGCGCAGACGCTGTTCTGACAATGTCAGCTTCTTGTTCTAGGGCTCGGATGGAAGTCTGTCTTCATAATGTGTTAAGATGACGGGAGGGAAACATTTTCTTCGGACAGAAGAAAGCTTGTGAAATCCAAGCGTGGTGCCTCACACTGATTTCCTCGAAAAGAAGGGGAATATCCAGAATCACTGGATTAAAATTATGTCCACTCTATGCTTAAATTTGAATTCATTTATTTCTAATCTCTATAAAATGAGTCTGCAGGTGAACATGAAGAATCTGGAGGTGAGGGACAAGATTTGGGGGCTGGAATCTTTCAGGTTTCCATTTCTAGTTTGATCCAATTTAGACCCACAGTTAAGTGTAAAGATCAATCCAAAATGTTAACAGAAAATTAGCCAGAATGTCACCTGTCACCATTTGTGTTTCATGTGGAGAAGCATTGTGTCGACTTGTTGAACAGTGTACGGAAAACAGGAGACGTCTCGGCCTGAATATCTGCTGTCTAAACTGGAAGCCCAAAATTACTGGCCGTTGACTACTGCTTCAAAAAACTCAGACTCATTGTGCATCCACGTCTCAAGACTTCCTGGACGAGCTTCACCTTAGAGCATCCGTCCTTGTCGATAGAGCATTACTGCTTTTTGGCAACACTGTTAAAGCTTAAAGGAATACAGAAGGTATTTTACAGTAAACTAAATTATTCAGTAAATGTAAAAGATATTATAGGTTTTTCTTTTCTTTAAGTGCTGTGGTCAGGTGAATCCAGGGATAGGAAAAGATGTTATGCCTTATAAATTGATTTGCTTATTTCGATAATTAGTGCCGACAGAAGGGGAAAAAGTATTTAAACCTAAAGTACCTTAAATGAGCTGAAGGGGTTTTAACACAATAGCGTTTTTTATTGTTTCTAGACTAATTAATCGCTGAATATTTTATTGCCCTCCACCTCTTGGGAAATTCCTGCCTCCCTACATGTAGGTTGGAGGCTAATGTCAGCTGCAAAAAACATTCCTGGAGCTGCGAAGACATTTACTGTCATCTGTCAGTGACACTTCAGTGAGGAAGATACAAGCAAACACATGGGCAAAAGCAGCAGGTCTAATCCCCACATTTTTACACCACAGGATTCGTGCCATAATTTATCGTCTGGTCATTTGTGAAATGACCCGTTAACTCTTTTTATGTTGGGGTTAATTGGTCTAATTATCAATTTTCTTCAAATATTAGGATCTTTAATCAGAAAACCAACCTGAAAGACTCAATACATCAAACAAAATGTATATACTAGCTCTACTCCAACCAGAGCGCCAACACCAGGCGTGGTTTTTAAGGGGTTCCGGGGAGGAATGCAGTCTGCTGGGCTCCGAGTTCTCTTAGAGCCCTTAGCCTGGAGGTCAGCCCGACTCTGACAGATATCTCCACACTCCACTGAGGCGAGACGCATGGTCCCTGTCAGCACAGCACAAAGCCTGCCAAGCCTGTCTCCCCCTGTATGTGAGTCCGTGTGAATGTGTGTAGTTCTACCTTTGTGAGGACCAGTTTGAGTTTTAGACTTGAGCAGCAGTCCTCACAACTTGAAAAAGGTTGTTTGAGGGTTAAGACTTGGTTTGAGGGTTCAGGTTAGAACTGGGATTAGGTTAGGCACTTAGTCGTGACAAGTGCAGTGCCCGTTCTAATTGGTCAATTGCTTGGCCTGCAGTATTGCTGCTTTTTTTGAGAAAAGCTCATAGAAACAACTTGATGCTAAAATGTTTGAAGCAGTTGACGTTTTGTCATCATAGGTGACCGTTAGATTAAAGAAAAAAATCCAGAGCACCACATTGGTAAGTCTGTCCCACACTTTGGATGATCAAGGGGAAAGTTTTTTTTAAATATTCACAAATCACAATTTGTCTCATAGGGCTTAAAAAGG